TTTTTTTTTATTGTTAACATTTACTAATAACTTGTTATATGACTGTAAATAATATAAAAAATATTAAAAATTAATTTTACACAAATTTCTTTACACATTATTCTTTCACAATGCAGTCATTTTTACTGTTTTTTGGCAATATAGGTATATACTAAGTTTCAGTCTTTCTAGTGTTAAAGACTGTTACATGAAATTTCATATTTTAAGAAATATCCATTTTCAAGCTTTTCAGAGCTGCAAACTCTTAATTCATGATTGAGGATTTGCAAGATTTATCAGATTTTTGACGAACATTATGGAAACTGTAAAAGGAAACGACAGGATCTCGTTCCTCTTTTACGGACGGCTTATCAAGGCGAACACCGAGATCAGACACATTGATCTCTCGCGACAAGGAGCTGCAACGGAGTTCAGACGTTCCACGCGAAACGTAATCCAGGAGGATTATGCCCGAGTTTCTAAGTGACGCAACGCTTCCGGCAAATCGAACCGGTATCGCCGTTTCTTTTTCGTCCCCTTTTTCCGAGCGAAATAAATATTCGTTTTTATCGGACCGATCGGTTTTTCCCGTTAATGGCTACCCGAGGATTATCGGGAGCCTGTTCCTTTTGCGATTTTATTCCCGGGAACCCATGTTCCACCGTAGCGGCTGCAAGGTTCTTAGAAAAATGCGCTTTGATTCAAACTAAAAAGAAATGTTTGATCTCCTTTACACGGGAACTTGCTATAATATTGATTATAGATAAAAAGAGGTGCTCGGAACTTGGAAAGTATGCTCGCAAACGATACTGCCTCGACGTAAAAGCAGCTTTTTGAACGAGATAGGAACAGTGTTCGAAAGTTCGTGAACAGATTTTTCAATGTTCACCGCGACGTCTGACGTACCCCTGATTGGCATCGTCGGCCAACTGGGAATTAGGTCATTTTTTCCGTTCGACGTGTACACTCTCATTCATAAGTCCTACAACATAATAAAATTATTAAATGAAAATATTCAATATTTGAATCTATTCAAGCTGCTGACTCCTTTACACTCAATGACCTTTTATTACAATTCTTGGATTAGAGACAAACTGCTGTACGAGATGCACTTTTAAAATCTATATCGTTTTATTCTGATCAGAAATGAATTCGTTCAACAAACATTTATAAGATTTATGATGGCGAGTGTAGTTTTACACGACGGACTTATGGTTCGTGACGAGACGATAGAACAACGCGAGAACTTGTGTCGCGAAGCAATTTTCGAGGCTCGCGTGAGCAGCTGTGCGCGATTCCGAGCATCGATTACTAACCGTGAACGAGAAACGGCAAAAGATTTCACCTTGCAATTTCTTTCCTCGTCTCCCACCCCCTCGTTGTTCCAGCGATAAATGTATGCGGGGAGAAAGGTGGGTGCTGGTCTCGAGAAAGTATTTAACTGGGCTAATGTCTCGAGGAGCTGATTTATGGCGGTGGCTGCTTTTGAAAATTCTCGCGGGAAACGAATAGATACCCGGTGACCTGGAAGCGAACGGGTGTACACGATTTTTATGTGATCCGCGCCCGCGACACTGACAAATTATCAACCGCCAACTTGTCCTTTAATCCAACCGAGAATTCCGTCCAGAGGTTTAAGTCTCTCAAATGCTCACTGCAGTTTTTATCAACCCTTCTGCTCTGTCCGTTTCTATTCATCAGATTTGTTGTCATTCATACAAACTTTATGCAATTCTTAATTACTTTCATCGTTCAAATCGAATTAATTCACTTCGTCTATATTTATAAAGTGATTATTTTGTTACTATTGATTATTAAAGAAATGTGATTGTTTTGTTACTATTGTTC